CTCTCTCTCTCTCTCTCTCTCTCTCTCTCTCTCGCTATATTTTATTTACGTAACACTTTCGGTAATCAATAATCCATGTTAACACTCTCACCTCCTCTGTAATATATCATTGGCCAGGTGTCTCTTACCTTCATTTCGTCTCCGCTAATTAAGAAGTGATTAAATCAGTTTCTGATATCTGGGTGTGGAGGGGTGAAGGGGTAGAGAGGGAAGTGTGGGTTAGGTGTGTGGGGTGTGGATAGGTGGGGGGAAGTAGGTGTGTGTGTGTGTGTGTGTGCGTCTTTCCACTACATTATTACCAGTCCAAATTATGTTAAGCACACTACTTAAAGTTATATCTGCAATAAATAATGATAAGTGTTAATTTATACTGTCTATAACAACTGGTGAACACATGAAGTTACTTACATTCTTTAGGTAACGCTGTGGTGTGGCTTATTGACCAAGTTAGCGTCTAAAGTCACTTAAACACTTTGGGAGAGCCTCTGCTATATATTTTAGGTAATAATGAATGTTTTAGGGGAGATATTACGCCCAAAAACTATAGACACATTAAAACACATAAAAATAACTACACACGCGAGATTAGGTACATTTCAACTATATAAAGAGAGTTGAATACCATACGAAGAAGGAAGAGAAACACAAAACGACAAAGACTACGATTTGGTTGCTTTGCCTCTTTCAAACTACGCCCACTTCAACCCTACCTTATGAGATACTGTTGAGGCTATTTTAGTTCACTTTAAGGCCAAGCAGATGGTGCGGGCATACTATTTTTCCATGTTTAACGTACAGTGCAGTATTAGAATGGGCTGTAGAAATAGTGGTGGCACAACTACCCTTACCTATACAGAATTTTCGGTAAAGTTAATGATATTGTATTGTAATTATTGTTAATGATGATGGACGATGCCAGGACACATTTTAGTATTAAATTTGGGTGGTTGTGGAAATAACATAAATAACACAGGTTATTGTTATCAATATATGACAGTAATTAACATATATGATATTGTGAAAGCTCATTTCTAACACCACTAAACCACAACACCACGACACCACACCACGACACCACTAAACCACAACACCACGACACCACAACACCACGACACCACAACACTACAACACCACAACACTACAACACCACAACACTACAACACCACGACACCACAACACTACAACACCACGACACCACAACACTACAACACCACGACACCACAACACTACAACACCACGACACCACAACACTACAACACCGACACCACAACACTACAACATCACGACACCACAACACTACAACACCACACCACAACACTACAACACCACGACACCACAACACTACAACACCACGACACCACAACACTACAACATCACGACACCACAACACTACAACACCACGACACCACTAAACCACAACACCACGACACCACAACACTACACCACCACTGCACTACACCATCATACAACTACACCATTGAATCATCATTGTACTAACCTACCACACCACCACAACACTTCAGCACTATACTACCCCACCACCACTGCACTATACCACCACTACACCACCACTGCACTACACCATCATACAACTACACCATTGAATCATCATTGTACTAACCTACCACACCACCACTACACCACAACACTTCAGCACTATACCACCCCACCACCACTACACCACAACACTTCAGCACTATACTACCCCACCACCACTGCACTATACCACCACTACACCACCACTGCACTAAACCACCACACAGTAATTTTTCTCACCAGCTGCTGTTAGATCCGTCTTTAACTCCTGCCCAAACAGAACCCGGCGTCAACACTCACTTCTCATGCCTTCCTCAATCAAAAATCACTCTTGTATTCGTCCTTTAACTATTTACGACATTCTTAGATTTTTTTTTTTTGGGTCGCCATTTTGACTCTTACTTTTATGTCGTAGTGTAAGAGTTAAGATTTTTTTTTCTACGAGCATTTTGGACTAGCGACTTCTCTTCCAGCTGCCCAGGAGAGGCAAATCAACTCCTTCATTTCCTCCTTCCTCAATGACGATCCTCTCTCTCTCTCTCTCTCTCTCTCTCTCTCTCTCTCTCCCCACTTATCTTTTTTGAGTTTTAGTTTGATTATCTAATGAAAACTTTTGTTGAAGTTCTAATGAGCCTGATAGAGAAAGTGAAAGTAAAAATGAGAGAGAGAGAGAGAGAGAGAGAGAGAGAGAGAGACCATTAATGGGTCGAATAATTTGGCAGTTAAACCCCCCATACCACTTACCTACCCGGGTGTTCTTTCAGGAGTTGGGATATAATATATGCTTTTTCTTTCGTTTACCCAGAGTTTTGCTTATATTTCCGAAGTTCAAAGAGTTTCGAATACCATCCTTCCTTCTTTTAGATCCTGGATGCCGGTTTCATTGTTCGAATATCTCCTTAACTTTTTTCCTCTGTTTTAGTCAAATCGATAAATTATTTCCCATTATTTGTATGATTTAAACTGTTTCTACATCTTATTTGTTTCTCTGAAATATCTATGTACATTCACCTTCACTAGTGCGTTTACAGGGGCTTGCTTTATGAATATTAAAAAAATCAGCACATTGATATATTTGATTTAACATTGTTTTTCTTTGATTCCATAGTATGTTTACTATCGCGAGTTTTCTTCTGTCGAATGTAAACGAACAGCGTTGCCACACTGCACAAAACCTGACGAACCCCTGTAAACTCCCTAGTGAAGTGGACTGTACCTACACTGTCTGTAGTTTTCATATTTTCGAAGCTTCATTTTCTAGTTTGAATACTGCCCAAACTTTTCAAATATATTTTGGATTCAACTTTAATATCTTCAGTATATTCAGAACTTATACAACCAAACTAAAATACCTTTATAATGGATACCACCTTAATGACTCGTATATAACGGCTTCAAAGTATCGAAAAATTTTGAAGCAGCCTTAAAATAGATACAGCTCTCGCCTCCTGTCCAAAGGGTCTCTGATTCCAGCCTCCTTTTGTGCCGATGACTTAGTGTATTTAGTATATACAAATCGGATCCACTTGCACTTTTCGCCAACACTAAACTGTAATTATTTTATCTAATACTATTTAAACCACAACTTTGAGGTTCGAGCATATCCGAAGTCCTTTTTATTCCAGCATTTTGATTTAGTCCGAAGTTGATTTCCTTATACATCACCGTTACTATAAACGCCGTCGACCTCCTCTTTATCTCCCCTCCTCTCTAAAACAATCTAAGGTCCTCTAACCCCAAGAGGACTTCTTGTAGAGGGCTCTTGAACTCCGCCTCCTGCACTAGAGTTATCTTTCTGCCTCCCAGTTCACTAAATACTCTCTCTCTCCACGTTAGTCATTCTGCTTAAGCACTTGTGCTCAGGACTTTGTAATCAGAAGAAAAAGATTTATTTTTTCCGTGAGTTTTGTGTTTTATTTTTAGTCTCTTAACCCTTGTCTCTCTTAACTCTCTGTATATCTGTTTCTCTGATACCTCCTTCAATTTAAGCCTTGCCTCGTCTCTCTCTCTCCTTTGCTTGTGTCTCTCTTCCCTGTCGCCCTGTCTCTTCCTCGGTTTATTCCTTACCTTATGTCCGTCCTATCTCTCTGTCTCTCTCCGTTAATTCAATCCCTATCCCTTGTATCTCTCTTTTCCTCTCTATCTCTCTGATATCACCCATAGTTTAACCCCTTACCCTGTCTCTATTTTCTTTTCTCTCTATCTCTCTTGTGTCTCCCTCAGTTCATTTTATATATCTCCACTAACGTCACTTACACCTCAAGTTATCGTCAACTTATTAACACGAGAGAGAGAGAGAGAGAGAGGGGGGGGGAGAGAGAGAGAGTTAAACAATATCCCGGTACAGAATCCGATCCTTTCCCCCCCGCCCCCTCTTACTACGGTATAGTATAGTGTGTGTGTACAGGTTCTGATCCCCTGACCCTTAGTATTACCCGCCAGTGCTTTAGTCCATCACTTTGGTTAGGATGTTGTAGGTTAGTAGTCACTTTGTGTGTGTGTGTCTGTGTGCGTATACCAAAAACTATCATGCGAACAATAGAATATTAACTGTAAATATATTGAAGGATACGATATATAAATTGAGTGATTTTCATACTCGTTTTAAAAGTAACTGTAGCGTTCTGTTAATATATTGAAAACCAGCGTAAGTAGGGATGTGTTTTGGTGAGTTCTGGGATATTTTAGAAATTAGTGTACGTAATGGGTGTAATATTAACTGTCCAATTATCTTGTGTGTATTTTAAAATTTTGACTAGGAACGAGTTAAACCATCGTTCTAAAAGTTTATATCGTCGTATTAAAGGATTAAAACCCTCGTCTTCAAAAGGTTTAATAATCGTCACCATATTTGAATCATCAAATTTAAAAGGTTTAATCGTCATTCTCCAAGAGTTAAACCAACATCTTTAAATGTATTAATCGTCATCCTCAAAGAGCTAAGCCATGGTGTTCATACAGCTACACACCATCGTCCTCAAAGTTAATAAGATACTTTGTAAAGACTGGAAGTGTTGTGTTATTCGTCACAGTCAGTCGTGTGTCAGTGACTATATATCTCTATCACGTGAGTGGCGCGGCAGGCAGCCAGTTGTCAGTACAAAGTGTGGAGTGAGCGACATATGCTGTAAATCCCCCCCCACCTACACACAGCCATTCTCTCACTCTCTTATTCTGGCTCATGTGCTGCGGCTAGACACTTGCTCCTATTGAAACTGAATGTCACTGCTGGCATGAGGTGGGTGAACTTCCGTCTGGCAAATTGTTGTGGTGTGGAGAGGAATTCTTCGTGCGGTTGACTGTTGGTATTGGTTCTTTAATGAATGAAGAAAGTGTGTGGTTTGAGAGGTCCCTCATACAGTACGTTCACCTGACCGGTGTAATGTGTCACACGACGTGTGATGCAGGTCACGTTGTTGTGTCCTGAGGGCACATTGCTAGCTACAGGATGTGACAAAATTTGTTTAATAAGGAAATGCAAAAGAGATCCGAGTAGTTTGCATTCCAAAACTTGAGATATGACGTTGAATACACGAAGTCCTTGAAATATACTTCACGACAATGTCACTGCTGGTCTCACGCTGTTCATGCCCAGTGTAATAGTCAAAACTATCCACATTAAAGACGGAGGGAACATAGCTAATATACTCACCGAGAGGGAGGATGAAGAAGAAGGGGAACCAGCAGAGCAGGAAAACGCCCACCACGATGCCCAACGTTTTCGCCGCCTTCTTCTGTCGCCGGAACTTGGCCATCTTGCCCGGGGGTCCTGCTAGCCGACGCTCGGGTGAGGTGGAGGGCGACTCCGGTTCCTGGGTGGCGTCCCTCTGCTGCTGCTGTTGCTGTTGACGCCCCCTAGTCCTCCCGCGGCCGCCACCCTCCCCGACACGGTCATTGTTCCAGTTAAGGGGCGTCATGGCCAGCCGCAGGTGGGGCGTCGGCGGCATCAACTTTGCTACACCTTTACCGCGGTGGATCCTGAGACCTGAACGCTTTTCTTCGGGTTCTGGTGGCTTTGTCTGCCCGTTCACCAAGCAGTGGCCATTTATGCCGCCCACTCCTGTGGCCAAGCCGGCTGCCATGCCCGCCGCGATGCCCACGCCCATGCCTCCGCGGTGAGCCCGCAAGGTGAGTTTAGTGTCACCGCCGCGGTGGACCCTGAGTGTGACGGAGGTCTTAGTGGTCTTGACGCCGCTCTCCAGGAACTTTGACTGCTGGATGGCGGCACGGTAGATGCGCCAGTACACCACCAGGATACATAGGCTGGGTAGGTAGAAGGACCCTGTTACAGAGAAGAGGACGTATCCCAGCTCCTGGTTGACGGTGCACACGGTCGGGTCAGGGTCTGCTGGAGTTTTCCAGCCGAAGGCGGGTCCTATGGATATGACAATGGAAAGCGCCCACACCGCCGCGATCAACACGCACATCCGTTTTTCGGTCATGATGGTCGAGTAGGCCAACGGTCGAGTGACCCCGATATAACGGTCGAGCGAAATGACGCAGAGAGACCAGATGGAGGCAGTGCAGCAGAGGACGTCAGCCGTCGCCCACACCCCGCAGAACACCTGCCCGAAGTACCACTTGCCAGAGACCTCGAGGGTGGCACTGAAGGGCAAAACAGTGGTGCCGAGGAGGAGGTCGGCCACGGCCAGGTTGACGATCAGGTAGTGTGTGGAGGAACGGAGGTTACGGGACATGAAGACCGCCAGCAGCACCAGCACGTTACCTCCGATCGTCAGCATCACGATGGTCGCCAATACCACCGACTTAACCACCGCCTCCACCAGGGAGTTCGTCGTCCACTCAGAGGCCAAGTCCTCGATAATCTGGTCCCCTGGCAAGGAGGAGGGGAGGGAGGCGTTGATGGTGGCCTCGACAGAAGCATTAACAGAGGCGTTGACAGCAACGTCGTCGTCGGGCTCCGGTATGTCGGGGTAACTGTCGAAGTCATAATCGTCGTCGAAAATCCAAGAAGTATTGAGGAATCTGAGGGTTGTGGGCCCCTGGTACCAGTAGGTGACGTTGCCTGCGTTCATGGTGGTCTGGTCTATGTCACGCCCCCGTCACTTACAACTATGATCCCAACACTAATGAACGACACCGAACAGTTCATAATAATAATATATATTTTTCTCTATCAAGGAATCACTTGTGTTTTGTGATAACTAGTGCTCATCATCCTGCACATTATTTGGTTCCTCCCTCACACTCAAACAGTCACTAACACATTAATCTAACGCGTGATTTTCTTTATATATCAGTGACTTAATGTCGTTGTCTCGTCACTGCCCCATACAACGCTGGTCTGGGCTCCCTCCAGTATACTCCTCATGAACATCACTCATCTTCTACTGTCCCTCGCTGGCTTCACACTGCCTCTATGGCGTCATATGTATTATCTCTCGGGACTAATTCACTATCTCCAATAACTGTTTATATTGTTCACGTCGTTTCTGTGGTAACAACAGTCTCTTGAGGGTCCATCGCCTATCTGTCTGTCTGTCTGTAATTACAAGTTGTCTCCAAGGCCAAATATTATCTCTCCGGTGTCTTTCCTCCTGTCTCTACTGTCTCTCTCCTACATGTACGACCAGGCGTTAGATACATCACAAACTGTTATGCTGAATTCATAAATATCTCTTAAGGGTTGTTTATAATCTCTTGCGTCACAGATCATCTCTTCGGCTACACACAGTTGTCTCACCGGCGCCATAAACTGTTTGTGACGCAAGGAGCCGTCACATACCACGGTCCACTAACTCCACAAATACCTCTCAGACGTCATGAGCTATTTACTGGAGCTATTAACTGGGTCTTCAAGCGCCACAAATTGCCCACGCGCCACTAATTGCCTCCTTCCAGACACCACTAAACGAGCTTCTCCGCCTGCATCACAATAAGTTCCCTCACTGTAGTTTCGTCACTTTTCTCACTTGTAAATTATGATGAAAATTTAATATATTTCTCGGTACCTGATTGGTGTATTTTGGTTCATAATTATGCAGAAAGGATTAAATTAGTCGCATATATCGAAAATCTTTATCTCCTCGTCAATATTTCTCACATACACATCAGGTTTTAGTAAGTAATAATGATAAAAAATGAACTTGTGTTTTTTAAAGGCCCGACGTCCTTCTCCGGTTTAATATCCTACACATGCCCAGTTTCCTAAAGGATCTTTTCAATTAATCCTTCACTACTTCAGTTATTAATTCCTTTCTCTTCCTGTCGCTGTAATTGATAGAATATTACAAAAAACCAACGCTACAGTATTTGTTTAAACTCATGTTAAAGTTACATGCTAATAGAGTGTAGAGTTTTTGCGTTAGTTTATACTATCACAGAACAGACTGATGTTAACAGACCACAGACAGGTGTTAACAGACCACAGACTGATGTTAAGAGACCACAGAAAGTTTCTTTAGTAATAAGACTAGATTCACGCCTTGACATAAAGATGTTGCTATAATCGTAATAGATCAGGCATTATAAAGATATCGAGACGTTACACTTTTTGTCAGATTATATCAGATTGGGCTAAGACTCATGGCAAGGCACCGTTCACACCTGTGGGGGAGGCGAGCCAGCACACGTGTTCCTCCTGACGGCACCTGACGGTCACTCTCACTTCCTGCTCCCAGGCGTAAATTATGTAGCCAAGAGAATGCCCGGGAGTGTTGATAGTGTGGTATGAGAGTTGCCTCTACACATTTTGCTGGCAGTCATGTTTAGTTGCAAAAAATATATAACACGTACAAGTTTTCGCCTTTGCTTAAGTAAAGTTTTGTAATGTATTAATACACTAAGCAGTCTTATTGTTGTCTGGAGAGAATTCGTTACAGATGGTTTGTTAATAGTTTGTTTTCCAAGTTTGCGAATAGTGGAGGAGTGTGTGAAGGTGACGAAGTGAGCGAGGCGGGGAGAGAAGCGTCGTACGTGGCGCTGTGACCCACACTGACCTGGGGAAGCGTCGCTCCTGCTGCTCTACGACCGCGACCCGCGCACCTCCCCGTGCTGGCCTGCTAAACACCACCACCGCTGCCTCCCTCACCGCCTCCACCTCCCTGCATAGACTCGTGCTAATAACAAGGATCGTTTGAGAGAATATCCAGCATTTAAATAAAAGATATCGACATTTTCTTAAAGGAACGCGACGTGAGAAGAGGTAATCGTGGCAGACTTCCTTTACCTCTGCTCATACATTCCGTGAAAAGTTGTCTGGGGAAAGATTCAACGCGAAAATTCTAGATATCTGAATATTTTAAGGAGTACAATAGGTGTGGGGGAGAGGCATGAGTATATTGATTATGCCGGACCCGTCGCTCTTACCCGAGCTTTACTTCCCTTCTCACATGCATCCGATGAGAAGAAAAAGACACTTGAGTGAAAGTTCGTCGCGTGAATTCAGGATATGTTGCAGGTATTACAGGAATTCAATACTTGATAGAGACTTATTCTATTATTTATGTCACTTTTTTCCACCAACGTAGACGGAGAATCCTAACTGTTATAATGTTGTGAATGTTCCCGCGAGATATACAGAAAATACTCAATCATATACAGGTATGTGATCTTATAGACAAAAAAAGGCCTTAAAAGACTAAAATCATCGTATGTTATTCAAGATATGTACATTGGTGATCAAAAAGTCTCTGTGCACCTGTGATAATGACTTTAGTTGTTCTTTGTTACACCTACATTGTTGTCTATCTTGTTCTAGTTACAGTTAATATTGGAAATGTTATCAATTTCCAATAGTAATCTTGATCATTTCCAATATTTACTGTAAGTAGAACAAGGTATATAACAATGAAGGTAGATTTATCAACCCCAGATAATCTACTAATCCCTAACGAATCTACCAGCCCAAAATAATCTACTAAGCCCAGAACTGGTGTGGCATCTTTATAAAAGTTTAATAGTGCCACCACCGTCCCTGGCACTCTCTCGCTGGACCTTGAAAGGGATTTTGTGTGCCATAATTGGTTCTTTATCGTGCCATCTATATGCTAGGTCGGCACTTAGAGCCTTTGGTGAGAGGAGTTGGTTGTGGACCCCTCCTTTCTTTGACCTTCTTCCTCCTCCTGCACCTCCTCTTCCCCATCTTCACTGCTCCCTCGTTAGTTACCCTATTTCCTCCCCTCCCCCCATCCCTCCCTCCCCCTCTCCTTCTTCTCGCACCTTCCCTCCCTCCACCATCTCCCCTCTTCTCCCATCCCCCTCCCTAACCTGGCACCCTGCTACCTCGCCCTTTCCTCCTCTGCTTTACTTCTCCCTTTCTCACCATCTCCTCTTCCTCCTCCCCTTTCCCATCTTTCCCCTTCCTCCTCTACTACACTCCTCCTTGCCTTCCCTCTTTTTTATTGTATCCTACCCACCACCCTCCTCTCCCTTCCCCCTTTTCTCCCTTTCCTCCTCTGCTACAATCCATCTCTTCACTTTTTCGCAATGTATCCTCCCCATCACCCTCCCCACGTCACATTTCCCACCCAACGCCACCCAACCCTAACATCACCTCCTTCCCTCCTCTTTGTCGTAAAGGGAGATGGTGTGTTGCCACTTGTCTCCTGGGATACACACATCCACCCATCTCACCTTTGATGTCCTCCAGTACTGTACCTTCTCTTTACATCCCTCCCCCCTTGTGCGGCTATTACTTGTATGTAACCACTTATCATTAGGTCTCGAGACGCTCATTATTTACCACCAACAATGACCAAGTAAAAATTCACACACACACACACACACACACACTATTACTACTACTACTTTGCTGTCACTCGGAATCGAGTATGACGATCATCCAGCTATGAGACAATGGTATGAGTTGTTACGGATGTCACCTTCGTTGGTGAGATGAGGTGACTAGAGAGGCCGATAGAAGACCGGCAGGGTCGTTCACAGATGTTGCACGTGTGAAGGGGTACATCTAGTGCGGGAGGGGCGGCGGCAGCGCCTTTTCTCTCTCTCTCTCTCTCTCTTATCTTAGTGATGTGATATTTTTAAACTTGGAGGCGCTACACGACCCCTACCCTTCCTTCAGAGTCAACTTAAAGCATATATAACATACACTCGGAACTCCCTGGCGATACGTCACCATTACTACGCGATCCACGAAAGTATTTGCAAGAACGCCCACTGACGGTGACTGATAGATTACCAATATATGGACAGATAAATAAATAAATGAATAAATGAATATACAGGTAAATATGTAAGTCAATAGAGATATACATATGCATATTATATACTGTATATTCGCCCTCGAGTATTAATCAATAGATATCCCGTAATCTTCTCCCGTCTCTCTTGGTCACATCTACACTTCTCTTACCTTTCTCTTCTCCCCATGAGCCATTTATGTCCATTCCATTTTTATAGACGTTCTACCTCCTTCGCTCCGCCCTTTGTAATTCCTCCTCCCTACACACGTATACTCACGGCCCTGAATACCTCCTCTTTACCTCCCCCTTAAGGATGAAAGACCAACGGCACTCGACACAAGTACTTCTATGTAGTGACCATCCTGTCGGTTTCTCTGCTAAACAGGAGTACCAATGTGCTTAACAGGAGTACCAGTGTGTGCTAAACAGGAGTACCAGTGTGGACCAAACAGGAGTACCAGTGTGGACCAAACAGGAGTACCAGTGTGGACCAAACAGGAGTACCAGTGTGGACCAAACAGGAGTACCAGTGTGTGCTAAACAGGAGTACCAGTGTGGACCAAACAGGAGTACCAGTGTGGACCAAGCGGGAGTACCAGTGTGTTCTAAACAGGAGTACCAGTGTGGACCAAGCGGGAGTACCAGTGTGGACCAAGCGGGAGTACCAGTGTGGACCAAGCGGGAGTACCAGTGTGGACCAAGGGAGTACCAGTGTACCAGGTGGACTAAACAGGGAGTACCAGTGTGGACCAAACAGGAGTACTCAGTGGACAAACAGGAGTAGTGTGGACCAAGCGGAGTACTAGTGTGACCAAACAGAATACCAGTGTAAACAGTGAGTACCAGTGTGTGCTAAACAGGAGTACAGGTAAAAGTAAACAGGAGTACCAGTGTCCTAAACAGGAGTACTAGTGTGTCCTAAACAGGAGTACTAGTGTGTCCTAAACAGGAGTACTAGTGTGTCCTAAACAGGAGTACTAGTGTGGACCAAACAGGAGTACCAGTGTGTCCTAAACAGGAGTACCAGTGTGGACCAAAACAGGAGTACCAGTGTGACAAGCGGGGTACCAGTGTGTTCAACAGGAGTACCAGTGTGTCCTAAACGGGAGTACTAGTGTGGACCAAACAGGAGTACTAGTGTGTCCTAAACAGGAGTACCAGTGTGGACCAAACAGGAGTACCAGTGTGGACCAAACAGGAGTACCAGTGTGGACCAAACAGGAGTACCAGTGTGGACCAAACAGGAGTACCAGTGTGGACCAAGCGGGAGTACCAGTGTGTTCTAAACGGGAGTACCAGTGTGTCCTAAACGGGAGTACTAGTGTGTCCTAAACAGGAGTACCAGTGTGGACCAAACAGGAGTACTAGTGTGGACCAAACAGGAGTACCAGTGTGTCCTAAACAGGAGTACCAGTGTGTCCTAAACAGGAGTACCAGTGTGGACCAAACAGGAGTACCAGTGTGTTCTAAACAGGAGTACCAGTGTGTTCTAAACAGGAGTACTAGTGTGTCCTAAACAGGAGTACCAGTGTGTCCTAAACAGGAGTACTAGTGTGGACCAAACAAGAGTACTAGTGTGTCCTAAACAGGAGTACCAGTGTGTCCTAAACAGGAGTACCAGTGTGTCCTAAACAGGAGTACTAGTGTGGACCAAGCGGGAGTACCAGTGTGTTCTAAACAGGAGTACCAGTGTGTTCTAAACAGGAGTACTAGTGTGTCCTAAACAGGAGTACCAGTGTGTCCTAAACAGGAGTACTAGTGTGGACCAAGCGGGAGTACCAGTGTGTTCTAAACGGGAGTACCAGTGTGTCCTAAACGGGAGTACTAGTGTGGACCAAACAGGAGTACCAGTGTGGACCAAACAGGAGTACTAGTGTGTCCTAAACAGGAGTACTAGTGTGTCCTAAACAGGAGTACTAGTGTGGGCCAAACAGGAGTACCAGTGTGTCCTAAACAGGAGTACCAGTGTGTCCTAAACAGGAGTACCAGTGTGGACCAAACAGGAGTACCAGTGTGTCCTAAACAGGAGTACCAGTGTGGACCAAACAGGAGTACTAGTGTGTCCTAAACAGGAGTACTAGTGTGTCCTAAACAGGAGTACTAGTGTGGACCAAACAGGAGTACCAGTGTGGACCAAACAGGAGTACCAGTGTGGACCAAACAGGAGTACCAGTGTGGACCAAACAGGAGTACCAGTGTGGACCAAACAGGAGTACCAGTGTGTCTAAACAGGAGTACCAGTGTGTCTAAACAGGAGTACCAGTGTGTCCTAAACAGGAGTACCAGTGTGTCCTAAACAGGAGTACCAGTGTGTCCTAAACAGGAGTACCAGTGTGTCCTAAACAGGAGTACCAGTGTGTCCTAAACAGGAGTACCAGTGTGGACCAAACAGGAGTACCAGTGTGGACCAAACAGGAGTACCAGTGTGGACCAAACAGGAGTACCAGTGTGGACCAAACAGGAGTACCAGTGTGGACCAAACAGGAGTACCAGTGTGGACCAAACAGGAGTACCAGTGTGGACCAAACAGGAGTACCAGTGTGTCCTAAACAGGAGTACCAGTGTGGGCTAAACAGGAGTACCAGCGTTTACCAAATAACGTTCTTAAGCATAATCTGAATAACTGCGTAAATCCAAGATGGCCTCCTAAAATAATTGAAACCCAAGACTCGAGCAGTTCTCACAAGGCCAAACCACATGAACCATCAGTTCAAAGCCTTCGTTCAACCAGTTCAATGACCAGAAAAAGAAACGACCTCTACAGTGAAATAGCAACAAACCGTCAT